CCAATCTCAAGGCTCGACAGCGAGGGCGCCAGCAACACGGAAGGCACAACGGGAAGTTGGCATCTGGAAAATTGTAATTTGTTTAGGCGTGCAGTTTTGCGACGCCGACGCCGAGTGGGACCAGATCCGGACAGCGACAATGCCGAGACGTCACGAGCAAAACAACACAAGCGATTTACGATGGGTATCGGCGGCGGGAATTATCACCACCCACCAAACCACCCCAACCCAACCCGAAGGCTCAGATTTACCTTCGATTTCCAGTAGGGGGGGCCGGGAAACATCGAAAAAACACGTGTGGAACCCTTGCCCCCCCCAACCCGAGATTCGGGTCTTCGGGTCGGGTTGGGGTGGTCTGGTAGGTAGTCAAATTAGTGAGTGGTGGCTTTCACACGAATCTGCTTACGTATTTCTTGTTGGAGGCCACGACTTCCACGCCATGTCCTGGTGGGCACGGGCGGGCTCCCTCGCGGAGCGCGCGCGACTCCGTTCGTTCGTTCGTTCGTTCCCTCGTGGCCTGATGACTCCGCAACGAGGAGCATGAAAACCGCCTTTGGGAAGCTGAGGAATCTGGACGAAGCTGATTTCGTAGTGACACACTTCCAGTTGGAGGTTGACTATCCCAGGCGCTAGCGAACGCTTGTATTTAATCATGCGCGCTGGTAAGCGCTGGCACGCGCCATCAGGCGCTCGTAGTCGCTCAAGCACGCGCCTACCGTCCGTGGCGCTACGAAGTGGTTGCGCATCACATGATGGAATCAATGGGCTCCTCCACTCTTCTTCCTTGAAGATTTGCTGTCCCTCCTTTCGCACATCAAGACGTGTTGACGTGGCCGGCGCGGCGTTCCGCCTGACCTTTCCTCACCGACTGCGATTTTGAGTTTGGAGCTGTTCAACAATTGCACAGATGGAGGGCGTCTGGTTTCCAAAACGGCCAGCTACAGCGATGGGGGGCGATTTGTTTGCAACACGAGCCACTCGCCTTGTCTACCCGCGCGCTCGTCTTGCGATTTTCAAGCGGTTATACTGATGGAGGGCGGATGGTTTTCACCATGGGATTCTCGCCTTGTTGCCGCGCGCACTCGTTTTGCAAATCATCCAAGAGATCTATTACTGGTGACCGGTTCCTTCTTTTAATGTGGTTTACGCTTGGTTTTTTTCCCGTTTATGTGTTACACTTGCTTGCATTATTCACGCTTCGCGTATCCCCACCAGCCCATATGGAAACGTTGCCTATGAGATCTGACGGGAAATCGGCGGTAGATATTTTGGAGCGATTTCAAGGAACATTGCCTTCTTCAGGATAGTGCAGAAGCATGCAGGGACAATTTGCCCAAAGAGGTACGAGGAGGCGCAGGAGGATGAGGAGGAGAAGAAACAGGGGCACGAACACGGGAACGAGCAAAGGGAGGAGGATAAGGAGGAGGAGGAGGACGAAGAGGAGGAAGAGGACGGCGAGGACGAGAAGGAGGACAAGGAGGACAATGAGGAAGAGGAAGGAACAGCACGAAGATAATGAGAACGAGGAGCAGGTAAAGGAGGAGAAAGAAGCAGGAGGACAAGCAGGAGGAGGAGGACAAGGAGGACGAGGACAAGGACTGTGGCAGCCATCTTGGTGTCTACTTGGGGCCTAGTCGGTGTCCTTTTGGGGCTGTCTGGTGTGCTCTTGGGGCTGTCTCGGGGCCACCTTACGGCCCCCTTTGGACGTCTTGGGGCCCTTTGGGGGATCTTCTGGAGGGTATTGGAGCCGTCTCGGGAGCCCTTGATGGCCCCTTGGGGCCATCTTGGATGCCATCGGTCCAAGGAGGGAACGTCGTAACGTTACCCCCTCGCCCGTCTGGGGCTCGGCGCTCGTGGGCACTCCTGGGGCCGTCTCGGGTGCCTCTTTGGCCCCACGTTGGGGCTCTCTGGGGCCATCTTGGGGCCATCTTGAGCCCTCAGAAGCCCACTGGAAAAGAGCAGGCGAGACTGCGAACATCATCCTTTCTGCATGCGCTTGGTGGATTCGGGCTTCTAGGCAGGGTTGTCTTGGAGCGGTCGTTGGGGGCCTCGTCGAGCGTGGTAGAAGCCATCTTGAGCCATCGTCGGCTAGGTCGAGCAAATTTGGGGGTCATCTTTAGGCATCGGAGGCTCGCTTGGAGCCATCTCTGGCGTAAAAAGAACCCCCTGACACCTCGCGGACCCCCCTCACAAACCTTTGGGAGGGGAGGGGGAGGGTACTCCTTCCCGAGGGAAGAGGGTCTTGGAAGCGGAAAGAGAGATATCGTCATATCACTCACGCCCAGCTTTTCAAGATAGGGTTCTCGCCTCGGATGTCCGTCGGGTTTTATGACAAGACGCTCTCACCAGTGCAACAGTCATCGGAGGTGAGGGGGTGAGATCGCAGTGGAACGGAGAGCCCCCACAGGGTAATCGGTTTCGGTCTCGCATTCGTGTCGCGCGTGTGGGCGAGGCGAAGCTGCGTGGGCGCGCGAGAGGAATGATGACGGCGTGGCTAGGGGCTGTGGAGCCAGTTGTCCGCCCCCCATCCCCCTGGCGCGCAGAGACCTAGGATATCCCCTCGGTGGCGCGCCGGTGTCCCGCCGGTGTCCTGTCGGTGGCGCTGGGTGTCCCGTCGGTGGCCCGGGGTGTCCCGCCGGTGGCGTTGCGGTGAGATCGATAGTGAGATCCATTGTGAGATTTGTTGTGAGATCGTTCGTGAGATCTGTTGTGAGATCGAGGTGAGATCTGTTGTGAGATTGATCGTGGGATCTGTTGCAAGATCGATCGTGAGATATGGTGTGTGATCTATAGTGTGATCGGCAGTGAGATCGATACTGAGACCGATTTTGAGATCGATCGTCAGATAGATTACGAGACCGATCGTGAAATGGATGGTGCGATCCATTGTACGATCGATAATGGGAACGATAGTGAGAACTGTTGTGAGATCGTTAGCGAGTCCGAGTGTGAGATCGATAGCGAGTTCAGTTGTCAGTGAGATGGTGAGATCGATCTTGACATCGATGGTGAGAATTGTTGTGGGATTCACAGTGAGATCGCTTTTGAGCTCGATAGTGGGATCGAGTGTGAGCTTGATAGCGAGATCGATTGTGAGATTGATTGTGCGATCGTCAGCGAGATCGAGTATGGGAACGATAGTGAGATCGAATGTGAGAACGATAGTGAGATCTGTTGTGAGATCGATAGTGGGATATGTTTTGATGCCGATGGCAAATCGCTCGTGAGATCTGTAGTGGGATCGACAGTGAGATCGATACTGAAATCGATGGTGCTATCGATCGTCAGATATATTGTGAGATCGATAGTGAGATCGATGGTGAAATCTATAGGGAGACCGATGTTGAGAAATGTTGTGTGATCAATAGTGGGGCCGAATGTTACAGCGATAGTGAGTTAGATTGTCAGGTCGATGGTGCGATCGATTGGAAGATCGGTAGCGAGATCTGTTGTGAGATAGATCGTGATATTGCTTGTGAGATTCAACATGAGTTCGGTTGTCAAAGTCATAGTGGTATCGAGAGTGATATTGATCGTGAGATCGATAGTTTGATTCATGGTGCGATCGGTTGTAATATCGATAGTGATACCTGTTGTGAGATCGAGAGTTTGATCGATGTGAGATCGATTGAATGAGAGGTTGGTTTCCCACCCGCCCGAACCTCCACATCACCGAAGGGTGATCGTATAGGTACGGACGGAGGGCGGTTCCTTTTCTGAGCGGGGTTGACGATGGGCACTTCCGAGGACTTCACGACCCCACCTTGCCGGACTCCTTGCTCGAAGGATCCTGGGCAATTGGCAATTCATGAGCCCCAGCCTGAATTGCGGACCCACGGGGCTCTCGTCTCTCAAGGAGGGCGCATGCCTCGTGCAGCGAGCAATGATGCTTGCAGGGGCTTCTGAGGAGCAGACTCGGGATGGTCGGAGGTGAGGGGGTGAGATCGCAGTGGAACCGAGAGCCCCCCATCGGGTAATCGGTTTCGATCTCGTGTTCGTATCGTGCGTGCGGGCGAGGCGAAGCTGCGTGGGCTCGCGAGCGGAGTGATGCCGTGGAGCCGGTTGTCTGCCACCCCCCCCATTGGCGCGCTGTGGCCGGGGGTGTCCGGTCGGTGGCGCGTTGGTGTCCCGTCGGTGTCCCGTCGGTGGCGCGGGGTGTCCCGACGGTGGCTCGAGGTGTCCCGCCGTGGGTTCTCGATGGTAGTTCGTGAGATCAGTTGTGAGATCGATCGTGAGATCGATAGTGCGTTCGATAGCCTGGTCGATCGTGATCGCGAGCTCGATCCCAGGTTGCCCCGTCGGTGGCGTGGGGGTGCCCCGTCGGTGGCGCGGGGTGTCCCGTCGGTGGCGCGGGGTTCCCGACGGTGGCTCCGGGTGTCCAGTTTGATCGATTGCGTGATCGATGGTGACCGTGAGATTGAGAGATCGATAGTGAGATCGATAGTGAGATCGATAGTGACATCGATCACAGCAGATATTTGGCTGTGAGGGCCCCGCCGTGGCTGGGGGTGCCCTGTCGTGGTGTCTCGAGGGTGCTTCGGGAGATCTCTTGTGAGGTCGATAGTGAGATCTCTTATGATACCGGCATTGACATCAATGGTGAGATCGATGGTGAGATCGATTGCGAAATTCGTGGGACCGATGGCGTCATCTCATTGCCATCACAGTCATCGCAATTGTTGTCAGTGGGTTCTCCTTCCCCCTCAAACTGTCTGATCACCCGAAGGGTGGTCGGTCGTATAGGAAGGGTCATTTGAGCATTGCTGGTACATCTTGGGCTTACTCTGGCCATCTGTCCTCCCCGTCCTGCTCCTCCGTCTTCATCATCTCCCCACTCGTGCCTCCCAGGCATTCGTTGCTCCATAGATCTCCCCTTGGCACTTGCCTAGTCCTGGACAAAGCCTCTGAGCCTCTCGGGCCGTGGGTTTCGCAGCGTCCTGCCTCTCACTGCGGCCGGGGCTTGCGCGCCCTCGTTCATCCCATTTTCGTCCCTCGCCCAGGTGCGGGAGAGCGACGACGAGTCCGAGGACAGGCTGTCGGAGGACAACTCGGTCCACACGGTGTGCAAGGCCTACGACACGGGGGCTCCGGGTAACACGGGTTGCGACTTGAGGCCAGACGCCAGGCCTTTCGTGGACTTCTTGCAAGAGGAGGGCATCATGAGGAGGAGGTGGAGTGGTGGTACGGTCGGCATGGGGAGGGAGCTCAGGAGAGGAGTGGGGGGAGGAGGGTGTGGGACGAGGGAGGAGGATGGGGTAGGAGGAGGGGGGAGGATGGGGTGACCGACCAAAGGTAGGAGAAACAAGGAGGAGGAGGAAGAGGAAGAGGAGGAGGAAGGAGGAGGAGGAGGAGGAGGAGGAGGAGGAGGAGGAGGAGGAGGGAGGAGGGAGGAGGAGGGAGGAGGGAGAGGGAGGAGGAGAAGGAGGAGGAGAAGGAGGAGGAGGAGGAGGGAGGAGGAGGAGAAGGAAGGAGGAGGGAGGAAGGAGGAGGAGGAAGGAGGAAGGAGGAAGGAGGAAACAGGAAGGGGGAAGGAGGAAGGAGGAAGGAGGAGGAGGAAGGAGGAAGGAGGAGGAGGAGGAGGAGGAGGAGAAGGAGGAGGGAGGAGGAGGAGATGGATGAGGAGGAGGAGTAGGAGGAGGAGGAGGAAGAGGAGGAGGAGATGGCGGAGGAGGCAAAGGAGGAGGAAAAGGTGGAGTGCGAGGAGGGCGAGGAGCTGAAAATGGTGGACGAGGAGGAGGAGGAGGAGGAGGAGGAGAAGGAGGAGAGGGGAGGGTAGGAGGGAGGGCCTGCTTGCCAGAGGAGGGGATCGAGACGGTGCTGCGCGTCAACTTCTCGGAGGAGCCGGGGCTGGCGGAGATCGGGGGGAGCTACGAGGCCAAGCTGTTGACCAATAGTGGGATCCGGCACGAGGACGTCCCCGTCAGCGACGCCAAGAGCGAGTGCAAGGGCGCCGTTCCCCCCCGTGATGCCATCAGGAGCCGGGCCATCCCTCAGCATCGACTGACCGATCCCCATCCCAAGTGGGCAACTCCGAGGAGGGCGCTCTGAGACAAGGGCAGGTGGCATTCGGGGGGGCCCTTCGCCGCCACGGCTGGACGCAGCTCGGACAGCTGGTGCGTTTGGACCCCTCCCAAGGTCAGGGGGCCGATTTTGAACTCCCGTTGCCTCAACTCTCCCTGCTCCGAGCCAGGGGATCTCAGCCCCATCCAGCCCACCCCCCCAGATGGGCATGGTTCCCACGAGACCCGAAGAGAACAGCATATGTCTCCACCAGAGGGGGGGAAGTCGGCCAGGGTGGCCAAAGCCGCGCCAGTGGGGATGGGGATCCGTTATGAACGATGCTCAATCCCTCTGTCTCCCTCCATGCCCGTGATGGGGAAACCAAAAGATGCGGGTACCGCTGCTCCCCAGACCTTTCCCAGGGTGCGCCATGAGAAGAATTCAGCGGTGGCGACGAGGGCCTCCCAGGACGCCCAAAAGGGCGAACACGACGGAAGGGTGGCGGTATCAGTACCTTTTCCTCCTCTGACGTGATGCCAGCAGGCGCTTCATCAGCCTGGCCACGAACGACGGCCACGACGACCCCGGAGGCGGTGCCGTCCTCGTCCACTGCAAGGGTGGCTTCGGCAGGAGCGTGTTCTTGGCCTGCCTCCTGGTGATATACAAGCACAACGTGTCAGGCTGCGCCCCCCCCTCCTCTTCGTCTTCTGTGCCCTCTCTGCCGCTTTCTCTCTGTCTCTGTGTGTGTCTCTCTCTCTCTCTCTTTCCCTCTCGCTTTTTCTATGCTGCTGATCTCTCTCTCTCTCTCGTTCTTTGTATCTCTGTCTCTCTCTCTCTGTCTCCCTCTCTGTATCTCCGTATCTCTCTCTCCCTCCCTCTCTTTCCCATTCCCTCGGTCTCTCTCTCTCTCTCTCTCTCTCTCTCCCTGTCCCTTTCTCTCTCTCTCTCTCCTCTTCTCTCTCTAGTCTCGGCTCAAGTGTCCTCGTGGTGCCAGGAGCCACGCTCTCGGGCCCCGCGGCCGCCGCGCAGCAGCGCCGGACCGCGGGCCCTCCGAGCCCGGGAAGCAGACGGCCCCCGACGAGGCCAAGACCGAGAGGACGGCGCGGCCACCTCGTGCTCGCGGCCGGGGCCTCCGCTGGCGGGAGGCCCCGTGCGCTCGCCGCAGCGCGCGGACCCCTCGGAGGCGATCGTCATGGCCGCACCCGGGGCGTGCCGCCCCACGGGCAGGAGCGCGGCCACAGACGCTGCGGGCGGCCGCGGCCACGTCCTCTCGCCATCGCTGCCCGAGTGGCGATCTGGAGCCGGCGCGCCATCCTGAGGGAAGATCTGGCAAGAGAGAGAGAGAGAGAGAGATTCAGGAGGGGAGAGAGCACACAGACACAATTGCTCGTCGAGTCCCAGGAAAATGTGGAAAGATATGGGAAGCGGGGGGAAGACAGAAACCCAGAAAGTAGGGGGAAGTATCAGGAATCCGGTTATTTGTGTGTGTGTGTGTGCGTGTGTGTGTGTGTTTATTTGTGTGTCCCAGGGCCCCTTCAGAGATGGCGCACATGCAGGAACAGGTTAGGATCGCGGAGCTCCAGCAGAGGGCAGCGGCAGGGCTGCACATCGGGGAAGACCGCCGGGTTGTGGCTCACGCCTTGGAGCGCTCTGAGGAACGCCTGCGTCTTGCAGTGGCTGGCAGAACCCAAGGGGCCCACGTTGAGGTGAAAGGCGTGGCACACCGGCTCGCGAGCGAGGCGGCAGGGAGGCAGGCACGAGCTGTTGCGGAGGATGTTGCTGATGAGGCTGCTTCTGCAGTCCGGGGGGCCAGCCAAAGCCACATGACGGCGGTGGATCAGCTGACTGCTGAACTCGACGCCGCAGCCGCGCGCAATGCGGACTTGACGTCGGAGGGCCGAACTGGCTCGGCGCACTGCGGACGGGAGTGCGGGCTTGCTGCATAGATCCCAGGGCGGAGTCGATGACTCTCGACAGCGGGAGCACGCCATCGCTTTGGAATCAAAAGCTTCGTCTGCACGCGCGATCGCCGAGGCCAGGGGAGCTTTGCTATAAACCCAGATGGTGGAACAGGAAGCCAACCCCAAACTCGGCGCCGTGTCCCGTAACATGGAAGTGGCTGCGACGCAGACACTCAGACAACTGGAAACTCGCCGTGCGGCGCAGTATCGCGAACTGTCAGAACAACAAGTTCAAAGCCATTTGAAAGAACACCTCAGAGAAATGATCGGCTGTGCCCGTTAGCGCGCCACGCGGAGCATCGGGCTCCCGCGAAGTAGCGCGCCCGCTTGTCCGCTTGGCAGTGAAGCTGGTCCCTTGCGGTGCTTTTTTTTTGTTTGAAGAATGCAGTTCACGACTGTCGGCGCTGTGGGAGTTCCTTCTTCCTTCGCGGGGGTCATTTTGACAGGGAAGAGAATTGCTGCGTGACTTGCCTCGCTGCGCCCTTTCGAAGGGAACGGGAAGCGGAGGAAAAAGGGAAGGAAGAAGAGGATTATGAACGTGAGGTGAGGACGGAAATGGAAGAGCGCGTTGCCGCTCAAATTTTATCCGGCGCAGGGCCATTTGCCCGTCGACCCTTTACGAGGAAGCCGCGCAGCGATGCCGCGGCCTCATCGGATCGAGGGATAGAGCGCGAGGTCGTTCGACGCTGGAGGGCGTTTGAGGACAGCGCCATGGCCGAGAACGAGCAGTTGACTTCTATGCTACGCGAGGCAGAAGAGAACATGGAACGCCGCGCTGCATCCGACGAGCAGCGAAGACAACTAGGCGGAAAAACGGGCAGAAGCTGAGCTTGTCGCCGGTATGCCAGGAATCGAACGAGAGGAGAAAGCTAGGGAAGATAATGAGCGTCGGGACAAAGGAAGGAAAGACGGGGCCGCCGTGGGGACGGCGCCTGCCACGAGGCCCCCAGGTTTCACACTTCCTGATGCGCGGAAGCCCGGAGGTGGAGGCGATGGCGGTGGCGGTGCGTTCGAAGGGGGAGAGTCTGGCGATTCTGCTCCAAGGGGCGCTGCCCTTGTCAAGAAAAGCCCATGCCCGCCAGATGACGGCGGTGGCGGATTCGATGATGACTCACATTTTGAATCCGATGATTCCGAAGACGAGGGCGATGATTATTCGGGATATCCGGCGATTCTCCGAACGGCGCTCTGGGTGCGGGATGCGCGTGGACAGATGCGGGAAAGACGGGCGAGGTCGTCCTTGATCATATTCCTGACGCCGGTGGGTACAAGAAATGAATGAGGAAGGTTGCTAGGCTTGTCCCGTGCAGTTCTACGCAGCAGGTAAGAGCGACCCCCTGGATCAATGCAACCGCCCATCTCAATGAGATCCTTACAAGGGACCTCGACACACCCGGCGAACTGGGGAGACTCAATTTAATGACCGCTTGGAACTTGATGTCAAAGTTTAACAAACATTCAGAAGACGCCAAGGCGCCCCCTCCCATGAGACACTTGGCAAGTGAAATCGACCGCCTCGCTTCTAAGAGTTTGAAGAAGTCAAGGATGCTTTCGCGCCGCCCTAATTTGCGGACTGTTGCCGTGCGTTTCACTACCCGGCAGGATCATGGCCAGGCGCATGCGTGCCAGGACCTGATGGTAATCACGGTCCGAGTTTCGGGCAAGCAGGCAGACGACGATCTTTTCTTTTCTACAGTGAGTGGATGACAATCATGAGCGAACCTGACGCGCTTCAAAATTCTTTCCGACCCGCTACCCAAGAACATGTCTATAGACTGATAAGGAAATGCTGAATTCTGCGGCGCCTGGCGGCTTCTCCCCCGCGCCCGCGGTCCGCGCGAGGTTTGCTCTGGGCCGCTTTGGGGCCATGGGCGCGTCACGGTGGAGCCAGGTGACTCGCGCCCCACGGCCATGGTCTTTTCGCCCGAGGGCAGTTGCACGGCTGTGTGTTCGCATTTTGCCATATGTATTTCCTCTTTCCCTCACTTGCTTTTTGCCCCCCCTTGCGTCGCGCTGCATCATCTGCCTGAGCACCAGTTCGCCCGGACATTGGCCAGGAGACGTTCAGCCACGTTCGCAGGACAGCTTGTTCTGCTTCGTGCGCGCATGCGAACAATCGCCCGTATTTCCGCCCCTCCTCTTCCACCGTTTTCTGCTTCTCTCTCCTTCATCTTTTTTCCTCGGCCACTGAATGTGCCTTTAGCTGTTCGGTTGACCAGGCCAACTGGGGATGCCCATGCAGCATCGTTTCCGCTCCCCCTCGCCGTGATTGTTCTCTCCTCCTCCTCCTCCCCCCCCCCCCTCTGTGAGCGCGCTTGGCGCGCTCGGCGCAGCCAGCGTGCTCGCCATTTGCAGGCGTTGCGGAACTCGGAGACCGAAGATTATGAGTTGCGGCAGGAGGAGCTGCAGCGACCATCGATGGCGTTCATGGAAGCCCTGGAGACCCTCGGCACACGTGCGCCGCAGCGGCGCGTGCAGGGCGGCTTCCAGGTGGTTCTCCCCTTGCGCGGGCGTCCCCACCTTGCAGCGCCACCCGACCGAGATAGTCAGGTTGTTGGTGTTCCTGCCTTCGGTCGGACGACGGGTTGCGGGAGTTCTTCGGCAAGTTCGTGGCCTGCCTCATCTTCGGGCGAGGGGCGCAGGGATTCAGCCCCTGGTCGTCGCATCCCCTCGCCCACATGCACTGCGGCTACGGGCAGTTTGTCTTCAGTTTCCGCGACCCGTTCGGGTTCGGTCAGTTTTGCCAGGATCACCACCTGCGCTTCGGGCGCCGTGCGGGTCTCAGGAGGCGCCAGCAGAATGCCCTTCCAGCGCGGGGTGTATTTCCACGGGTGCTTCTTTAACTCCGCCCTCGACGCAGATGTCATCGGCGCCAGAGGCTGGGGGGCTTGCGTCGGGCTGGGACGATGCAAATCACGACCCCTTCGATGACT